TGCCCCTTATAGTATCTTAATCCTCGACTACGGTTAATGTTAATGGTAAAGCATGAGATGACGATCCCCATAGAGTAAGAATGGCAACATATCTTGGATATCTTTGTGCACACTTCTGGTGTGTCATGTATGTATGGTAATGAGACTGTCAGAATCTGGATTAAAAGTGCATGAAGTCTTCATGACATGTTAATGGTAATAACAGTCTTTGTAATCTGTAGCTACAATATGTAAAATGAGATTTAGTGTCAAATTTTTATTTTTATTATTTCTTTATTATTATCATTATTATTATTATTATTATTGTTGTTGTTGTTGTTGTTGCAACATATTAATAAATCCTACATGGTAAAATTTTTACAGGTAATGCATGTTGCACAGAACCTACTGTGCCTCCCCATCCTTGTTTGCAGTAACTTCATATTCTTGAGACAGATGATAGGGTAGATGTCTCTCATGGATTGTAAAAGATTAGAACTGATCATTCCTCTTCCCACCCTACCACTTCCGCTTTCAGTTTAGAGTGAATCAATTTGTGAAAAAAGCAATATATATATATATATCAGTACATCAGTTGTGTGACATTTCATTCACGATCTTCAATTTCCTCTTACCTGCTACTTATTCGCAGAATCGCTTGTCTGTGTGGAAGAAGTGGAGTGAGTTAGCCAAGGGGCCGGATGGTCGCCTCTCAGGCTCTGTTTGTGGCCAGGATCCCAAGTAAGTTTGATCCCAACCAACAACTTCTCCTTCATAGTTTTGAAGTTGGTCAGATGTAATAATTGTATACTCAGTGTATGCACACAATTTAGAAACATTTTCACATAAACTACATGATTCAACTTTCCTTAAGGTGCCAAATGTGTACTACATGAAGGTAGAGGAGCTTATATTTAGATCCGTAAGTCTAAAAATATGAGAAAGCTTTCCTTTTTACTTTCGATTTATGACAAGATTTGTACTTTTTGTCTATGACATCTCACTTCGTTTTTATTCACATGAAACTATGCCCTTTTTTCAGTCCATTTATTGTTAATATGCTGGATGTTCTGCATATCTCATATGACACAATATTTAGTCCCATAATGGCTGTGATAAGGAGCATCACAAAAAGACAAGGGTGACTCTTGGTAATGTAACTCGTTCCCTGACCTCACTTCTGTGATTATTGCCGTGCGCAGTGATATCATTAATCAGGCTTTGAACAGTAATGTGTATTCATGACTTAATGATTAATCCTTCCCTTTCCTCGCTGTAAGAGTGAAGGCTCCCTGTGAGTGTCTGGCTGCATGACTGGGTATTTGCTAATATTCCTTCCAGGCTGCCACTGCTAAATGCAAAAGTTACGCAAGAATCTCTTGTTCACAGCTACTGCAAGGAGCCAGCGTCAGTTCCCCCGCACGAATGGCCGGATGACATAACGCGCTGGCCCATCTGCCGGAAAAGAATTGCAGGCGTCAAGAAGATCCATCCGGCGGAACACATGGCATGTGAGGTCATTGGCCACCCTTGCTGCATTGGCATCCATGGGGAGTGCCGCATGACCACACGCGAGTACTGTAATTTTGTGCGCGGCTACTTCCATGAAGAGGCTACGCTTTGCTCTCAGGTAGATTTCAAAAGAATGCTGATATAGGAATAAGGTCTTAGTGTAGGGTAAAATACCTTTTTTTTTGAAGAGTAAAGAATAGGGAAAAGTTGCTGCTAAGTCAGCTCGTGGGATTTGAGTCGGTAATAAAGTGTGTAATTGACATATGATTCATGAAGTTTGAGGAAAATTGATTAAGCTTTAGTAAAGTCTAGTATAAATTTTGAACTGGGTTTCTTTAAGGTAATTTGATGTGTGTGTGTGTGTGTGTGTGTGTGTGTGTGTGTGTGTGTGTGTGTGTGTGTGTGTGTGTGTGTGTGTGTGTGTGTGTGTGTGTGTACACCTATGTCTGGTAGGTGAAACTGATTCATAAAATATTTTGATTACTGAATGTATTCTAATAAGGCTTGATATTATCACATAATAGGAAAAAAATGTGTTTGTATAAAGAAGAGAGATATGTAATGTTGTTACTGCACCCCTGCCCTCATCCTGAGACCTCTCCTCCTCTTTGTCCTCATCCCATTACTTCCCCTCCTCCTCCTCCACCTCTTCCTCTTTCTCCTCTTCTTCTTCTTCCTCCTCCTCTTCTTCTTCTTCTTCTTCTTCTTCTTTTTCTTCTTTTTCTTTTTCTTCTTTCTTCTTTTCTTTTCTTTTTCTTCTTCTTCTTCTTCTTCTTCTTCTCTTCTTCTTCTTCTTCTTCTTCTTCTTCTTCTTCTTCTTCTTCTTCTTCTTCTTCTTCTTCTTCTTCTTCTTTCTTCTTCTTCTTCTTCTTCTTCTTCTTCTTCTCCTCTTTCCTCCTCCTCCTCCTCCTCCTTCCTCCTCCTCTCCTCCTCCTACTCCCCCTCACTCCTACTCCTCCTCCTACTCCTACTCCTTCCATGGTTGGAACATAAACTCTCTTTAGTTTGTATGGTGCTCTGAAATATTCACCAAGTTGCAATGAGCCTCTGAAAGCTATAGTTTTCTTTTATAAGATTTCTCATGCAGCTGTTGCCGATTCTGCTACATTATCTTTCTACAAGAATAAGTGTAGTCCTAAACTTTTATCCCTTTAAAAGGAACATTTTATAGAATACAAAGTTTAAAACATTCCAACATTTAGTAGCATAACCTGAGTGTCTGAGTTAACCAAAGGCCTTGCAGATGGTCATGGAAATTAACTGAGTTTTTTTTCTGGTTGTCAGGTCTCCTGCTTGAACAACGTGTGCGGTATGATACCGTTCCACAACCCAGATGTTCCAGACCAGTTTTATAGATTGTGGACATCTTTATTTATTCATGCAGGGTAAGGCCTTCTTAGGTATCATGGGTGAAAAACATGGATGTAAGACCAAACCCTTTTTTCTGTACAACTATAGTGTAGATTTTTTTTGTAATTTAGCATATGCATACCTTTAAGTTTTTAAACAAGATTAATTTTTTCTCTTGAGAGCTACACTAAGTGGAAGCAACTCCTAGACCTGTGAGATGATAGATCATTAATGACTATTATTTTTACAGAGTTCTCCACCTGCTTATCACAGTAGTGTTACAATACTACCTGATGAGAGACATGGAGAAGCTGGCAGGACCGGTGCGCATTGGGGTCATCTACGTGGTGTCAGGCATCGCGGGCAACCTAGCGTCAGCCATCTTTGTCCCCTACCGGGCAGAAGTGGGTCCTTCAGGCTCCCAGTTTGGGCTGCTGGCATGTGTGTTTGTGGAATTCATCAACTCATGGCAGATGATGAGAAATCCTTGGAGGGTTTTAGGCAAACTGGTGGTCATGACATTGACGCTCTTCTTGGTGGGGCTCTTACCGTGGGTAGATAATTATGCTCACATATTTGGCTTCATCTTCGGGTTCCTGCTCTCTTACGCACTGCTGCCGTTTGTGTCATTCGGTCCGTACGACAAGCGGCGGAAGGTGCTGCTCATCTGGGTGTGTCTGGTGGCCGTGGTGGTGATGCTCACAGCACTAATAATACTCTTCTATGTCACGCCCATATACGAGTGCAAGGTATGCGAGTACCTTAATTGCATCCCTCTAACACGGGACTTCTGTGCAGAGCAGAACATCCATTTCGACCAAAAGATGGATATGATATGAGAGGCTGATGCTCCTGTCACAGGATGTTCCTGTCGACAGAATCAGCTGTCAGTCAACGGTCACCGACGTGCCAACATTTCTAGTAATATAACCAGTGTAATTATTACCGTATGTTATACAAGTGATCACTGCTGTTATGGTCATTTTCTAGTTTCATACTCGGGGAAATATGGGATTTACCAGCGCCTATTTTGGCCCATGTGTTTTAAGGGCCAAATTAGAATTGGTCAGATATACAAATTAGCATTGACTAGCAATGGACAAGATTTTTATACATATTTTCCCTTGTGAATGTAACAAACCCGTAATTTGTCTTTTAATGCATATATGCCTTATCTGGTAAGGTTGATTCCACATGAGTGTATTCAGTATCACCTGTTAATAACTTGTTAAAGAAAAATAAACATGAATTAGCATTAGAAGAATTTTTGTTGCCATCTTGTGAGGAACATTACCATGTTGTTAGATTTCATATATTACTCAATGAAGATGTTCAGGTAACAAAATAACCTTTGTTTCCCATTTCATATTTCTCAAAGCAGTGTGGAGCCTTTTTATGCATTTTGCAGGAAGCTAACTTGTGAAGATGAACATTCAAATGCAGTTACAAGGACATGTAAACTTGTCTTGTCCAAAGCTGTAGTTCATGTTGGTTTGTGCACGGCCTGTCTTAATATAATAGTAATAATAATTATCATTATGATTATTATTATTATGATTATTATTATTATAATTATTATTATTATTATTATTATTATTGTTATGATTATGATTATTATTATTACTGTCATCATCATCATCATTATTATTATTAGCTGTAGTTCATGTTGGTTTGTGCACGGCCCGTCATGGTGTTGCAGTTGGCCCTGCCAGCCAGCCCTGCCCGTCGCATCGGGAACGCAGCACAGTGAGGAGGGACAGGCAGATGACCTGCGACCCCTGGGACACAATTCTGAAATACCTCCTGAGGCGTACTTAATGTGACAGCAGCTGCGAGCCCAGTTGTGCAGGCTCCTGGGGAAGGGGGAGGGGAAAGGGCAAGGGGACAAGGGGAATGAGGGAACAGGAGGAAACCCCGCAGATTACAGTCAAAAACAAAGGAAATCGCTCAAGCTCCGTGGTGACAGATCTCATGTGGTCTTGCATAATTGTGGCCCAAGTGAAGAAATGGAGAGTGAAAGATGCTTCAAAGGTCCTCCAAAAGTCTTCATCTCATTTCTTATAGTTCTTATTTATTAGCATGGTCATTATAATTGTCGTTGTTGTTATTATTATTATTAATATTATTATTATATTATTATTATTATTATTATTATTATTATTTATTATTATTATTATTATTATTATTATTATTATTATTATTATTATTACTACCACCACTGGTACTTACTTTTATTATGATTACTATCATTATCATTTTCATTATCATTGTCATTACCATCAGCTCTTATGATTATTTTTGTGGTCCATTTTCATTATTATTGTTATTATTATTATCATCATCATCATCACCATTATCATCATCATCATCATCATCATTATCATTTTATTATCATTATTTATTTATTATTATTATTTTATTATTATTATATTGTTGTTATAATTTTATTATTATTATATTATTATTATATTATTATTATTATTACTATTATTATTATTACTTTATTATTATTATAATATTATTATTGTTATTATTACTATTACTATTGTCCTTATTATTAATTATTATTATAGGTTGATAGATTATCATTATCATTATAATCATCACTATTATTATTATCACTATCAATATCATAAGAATCATAATCAGTAATATTGTTATTATTATTATTATTAGTGTTTATTATTATTATGAGTTCTTATTATCATTATTGATCTGATCTTACTGTATTCTTGTTGTTATTATTGATGTTTTTATTATCATCAGTATTATTATCAATTTGTCAATGCTGATAAAGATATTAGCATTAACATTTTTATTATTTGTATAATTGCTATTATTGTTACCATTTCTATTATTATTATTACTAATATTAGGATAATTTTCTCTGATATATCATCACCATCATGATCATCACCATCATCATCATCATCATCATAGTCAGGAACATTGTCATCATCATCCTCATAGCTAAGAATATTGTGATTATTGTTATCATCATCATTATGATTATCATTACTGTATGTGGAAATAAAAGTGTAGGTTAGGAAGCCCTTATTTTCCCCACAACTGATCCCATACGCATAGTGTTAAGAGTATTGGAAAACGTGTTCTCATTCCAACTAACAACAGGATTTGCACTTGTCTCTCACTCTCCACGCCAGCTCACAGCTCACAGTTCACAGCTCATACGGGCAGCAAGGAGGCCAAAGGGAAGCGAGGGAATCAATCAGTCATGTTCTGTTAGGCCAAGTTCACCGCCCACTCTTGCCGTTTCCCCAGTCGCTGACGGTCACGTGGTGGGAGCTGGGCTGGACTCTTTGTGATTTGATTACTGGTGTCATTATTATTGCCTGTACCATTTTGAAATTTGTATTGATATATGTTTTTTTACTGTTATGTAATGATATGTATTTGTTGCTCTCATTAGTATTGTCATGATTGGTATTGATAAAATTATTGGCTGCTTTCCTATATTTTGATTTTGTTTGTTGGCTTGTCAACATTGGTTACTCTAATGATCATATCTATGATTACTATTATTGTATCTTTATGAATATTGATGTACATTTTTTGTTGTTTCCAATACTCAGTTATTCATGCATATGGATAAGGTTTGAAGTGGAGACAGATGATGAGTGCCCTGTGCAGCATTATTCATTTGCAACATGGCAGTGGAAATTAAGAAACAGATTCATTTTCATCTTGTCAGGGGCAGGAGTGAAACTGGCTGGCTTTTGGCTGGGAGGCCACAGTGACCTTCCTTGATTTCTCTTTGGTAAATTGGCCCATTGCATGACATCAGCATCATCCCCTGTGGAGGAATTTTGCAGCTCCACTTAACTGATTCTGCTTTTCACGACTTTCTGTCTGTATCTGCAATATGTCAGAACTGGCCAAGACTATGTGTATTTTCCTCCAATTGGCTGAAAAAAGTGAATGGTAGCTCTTGCACGCAGAGTTACTAGGGTTCAAAGTGCCTCCTGGTGGCAACTAAGATGAGCCCAGGTGAGATGGAGGTGGTAGGTACTGCTTCTGCCAGCCATGGTCCAGTGCCCAGGTGACAAGAGTTACTAAAGTGAACTAAGATGAGCCCAGGTAGATGGAGGTGGTAGGTACTGCTTCTGCCAGCCGTGGTCCAGTCCCCTGTGGCCTGGATGCCCCCATCCCTGGAAAGAAAGAGGCCTACTCTAGCAAGGGGAGCATAGTAGGATCTGGCCTAGAATGCTCCTTTGGCTAATTCCTTAAAAGTCATTGTGTTTTCACCAAAGCTTGATACCAGTGGCATCTAACATACATATTGTTTGGAAATAGTTTTCATCAAACCCTTCAGTTATCAGGATAAGTGTGGTCACTTCACAGAACAAAAGAGCTCCACATTCTCACAAAACCATCTTGTAATTTACTTCATCATCCCATTAATGTAGAAAAAACAATTTGTATGGAAATCCATTGTTATTAATAAGCTCTCATATGTGATATTGAAAACTAATCCTCAGAGAGAAATAGAGAATAGATCTTGATACTTGGCATTGAGGGTCACAGCTCTCCCAGTGGTAAAGACTAACAAGTTGAAGACACTGCAAAGGGACAGCATCGCATACTAGTCAAGCCCTCATTGTCAATGAGGATACTTGCCTAAGGCTTGGCAGGGCTTAGCAGGGTTTGCTGGGCTCGGCAGCACCAGTGCCCAGAGAAGAGTCAGGGAAATCTGAAGGCATTATTGCCCAGAATCTTGCATTTGTGGCTGGTCTGTATCATGGACTGCTTGTACTTTTGCTCTCTCTACTCTGTTTTGCTCTCTCACTTTCTCCTCCCTTTCCCCATCTTTTGACTTCTCTTTCCTTTATACATTTCTGATTGTGATCGATGCAATTTTTCTCACTTATGTTTGATTCACCGTATAAATATCTATCACTGATTGTTTTGTCGTCCTTGTTTCAGGAGGGCATCAGGCAAACAAAGGCAGATGCACAACTGGGACTCTTCTCATGTCCTCTCCTTATGCCACCACCTTTACCTTTTCTGTTTGAACTTTTAATTCTCTCTCTCTCTCTCTCTTTTTCTCTTCTCTTCTCTCTTCTTCTTCTCTTTCCTTCTTCTCTTCTCTCTCTCAGTATTGATTTGCAGGAGGTTAGATTATATATATATTTTTTGTTACTTTGAAAACTTGAAATCTGTTGCACCTGTGAAATTCTACTTTCTATGAGCTGCATTTAGCCACTCACTCAGTGTCTCTTCTTCTCTTAGAAAAAACACTCCACCTTTGTCCATTGCCAGCCAGCACTTTCTCTCTCCACAACTAATGTTTCTCTGCCTCATTCTCTCCCTCTGGAACCCTGAAACACCCCCCTTTTACTCCTCTGGTTGTCACCAGTGGCTTCAGCTGTGTGTCTGGCCCTTTTCAGCCTTTCCCTCAGTCATGTGGGGAGTTCACCTATAACACATGTTGTGCGCACAACTCCTCAGTTCCCTGGTGTGGGCAAGGTGTCCCACAAGGGGTCAGTGAGGCATGTGTATGCTCACAGCTCCGAAAAAGTGCCCGGCCTCCCCCCTCCCCCAACTGCCTAAGAGTTTTGTGGAGACCAAACAGGGTCAGGTCCGTTAATGTGCGCTTGTGTGGCTCTGGCCGTCGACAAGAGCTGGTATACTTCCTACTTTTATATTGTGTCCTCGCATTACTTTTGAATGTGAGTTCAGTAGTTTATGAATATTGACCATATTAAGATGTAAGAAATGGTAAAAATAATGATAATAAAATGAAAAAAAAATTACAAGTGGTTGTGAGTGCATGTCTTTGTTCTTTGTTATTATTGTATATTACTATAATTTGTATTTACACATTTCTTTGAAATATTATTATTACCATCACTATTATTGTTATAATAACAGTAGTATAACTACCACAATGTGATAAACATCTTGAATTACCATGTTTATTTTAGAGAGTACCAAACTTCTGCACCTGCCTAATCGTGCTGATCGGCTAAGCTTTAGGGTTCAGTCAATCAGCTGTTGTGAATTGGCAGAAGCCAGTGATGCATCAAAGCAAACAAACAAACAAACATGGCTTACATGTCTGTGACTGACTGATGCAAGCAAGCAGTGTGTGCGCAAGCAAACCAGTCCCAATAGTTTTTGTGTTAGACTTGAGGTTGTTCAGGAAGCCATTATGGTGTTTATTCATAATTGTATTTTTCCTTCTTTTTGATTGTATCAGACAGCAGGGTTTAGGTTTGATATTGTTTGTTTTTATCCCCATATTTTACAGCTCTGGTCATAAATGTCAATATAGTTTAATTTTTTTTGTATGGTACAGTATGCTTGACAGCTGCATCACATTCTCCCAGAATTTAAGTTGTGATGCAGAAAAATCAATGTTGATTCAACCAAAGGCATATTACAATAACCAAACAATTGGCAACCTTTTCTTGGAATCTGTTGTAGGCTGTGGTTAATGAAAACAACTGACTTTTCAGTTGGAGATAATTTTGCGGAAATTTATTTCGAGATTCAGAAATTGTGAAGAAATAAAAGACCCATTGCTAAATGATCAGCGCAATGCGGGGAGTAATGTCTGTGGCTGCCATGTGATTTTACCCAAGTTATCGACATCATTATTGCCGGGTTTTCTAAGATCTCTAAACTGTGCTACAAAAGTCTAGTCATCCAACTGTTTTTCTGTTAAATCATACACATGCACATCCACTCATAAGCACAGACATGCACACTTGTATGCACAATGACACCCTCAATCTCACCTTCCCTCCCTCCTCTCCTCTTCTTCCCCTCTCTTTTTCTCTTCTCTCTCTCCCCTCTCTTTTCTTTCTCTCTCTCCCCTCTCTTTTTCTTTCTCTCTCTCTCTTTTCTCTCTCTCTCTCTCTTTCTTCTCTCTCTTTCTCTCTCTCTCTCTCCTCCCTCTCTCTTCTTCTCTTCTATCTTACTCTTTTTCTATCTCGCATGCACACCACATACAAACACACCACACCACACACACACACCACACACACACGCACACACACACACACACACGCACAATCACACACACCACACCACACACACACACACACACACACACACGCACACACACACACACGCACAACACACACACACGCACAAACACAATCACACACACACGCACAAACACAAACACAATCAC